TCATTAAAATTAAGGATGCTCATGTGCTTGTTTTCTGGGGGTACTAAGGAAGGCAGGATCTTGACTTTGAATACAAGTAATCCACTCCAGTGCCAATTGTGGAGAAACATAAATTCTTCAGAATAAGTGGGTAATGGAAGTTTTATAGAGGAAAATGCTAAGATCCTTCTCATCTTCTGCCTCAGATGAGGTCCTGGGGCTTAATATTTAACCTTGGAATTCCTGGACACATTGTAATAAATTAAAAAATACAGTGTCCAAATGGCAATGACATTTTCATCAGATTTAAGGTTACATAGCAATGCTTACCACAATGATTTGCAGCTGGCTTTAAATCATATATTTTTTAATAGAATAGCAATACAGAGAACAGACATAAATTAGGTAATCTAGATAACTTACATTAAGTAATTTCTGTATGCTAATTGTATATGAGAGTCCTCGTGGCGCAGTGGTTAAGCACTCACCCTGGCAACTGGTCAGCGGTTCAAATCCATCAGCCACTTCTTGGGAGAAAAATGTGGCAGTCTGCTTCCATAAAGATTGCAGCCTTGGAAATCCTATGGGGCAGTTCTACTCTGTCCTGTAGGGTCACTATGAGTCAGAATCAACTGGATGGGGACCGGTTTGGTTTAGCTGTATATGTATAACCTAAGTTTATCCTCATCCCTATGGGGTACAAAACCAAAACCAAACCCGTAGGTACTACTAATAACCTTACTTTTTCAGATGAAGAAAGTCAAAGATAGGCCAAGTAAATATCAGGAATAACAAAGCAATGGCAAAGAGAGTGATATTTAATAAATGATGTTGGCAAAACCGGATATCAATATGGAGAAAGATACCAATTTGTTTTATCCTAACAGCAAGTATGGTGGCTGGTAGTGCCATGTAAGCTTTTACATAAGCAGAAGCAGGTGGCTTGAAACAAACACTCAAGCCACATTTCTTTCATTCTTGTATCCTGAAACGAACAAGTGAATTAGAGATGTTTGTTAATTTCTACATCATTTAAAAATTTCAATAGTATAAGCAACCAGAGTTGCAGTATAATATAGTGAAAGCACTAGCTTTGGCGTTATGAAGACATATATTTGAATAACATTTCCACCACTTACGAGCTAAACGAATTTGGGCAAGTTGCTAACCTCAGCCACAGTTTAATCATCTGTAAAGTGGAACTTTATATGATAGGAGATTCAAATAAGATATTTATATAAAAGCCTAACAAAATGTCTGACACATGCTTAACAAATATTCCTTCTAAGGGCAATACAAGGCTACCATATCTTTAACAAAAAAAAAAAGTGACTCCTTGTGTACAAAGAACATCCAAAAACAAGTAATTTTTATTGCTACTTTGGAAAAAATAGTGAATTTTTATAAAAATGGTTCTTTGGAACTCTAAACACAATCCTCCTTAACCCCCTTTTACATTTCCTATAGTGCCACAGAACCTCACACCAAATATAAAGGTGTTTCTGTGGAAATGCAAGAATCATATCTAGCCATACTACAGCCCTGGCAATGATGTCCAGGTTTCTCTTCTTAAATCCTCTCTTCTGTGCATTTAATAGTGAATTCGAATAATGCAGAATATATCTGGTTTTCCATCTGAAAGTGCAATCATCCACTCATTCATTCAACCATTCATTCAAAAAGTATTACCAAGAATTGGCTACATTTTATATTTTGATTAAAACATCTGAGTATTGGGAAAACAGAAGTAAACAAAACAAGGTCCTTGCTTTCATGGGGAAACCCTAGTGGCATAGTGGTTAAGAGCTACAGCTGCTAACCAAAAGGTCGGCAGTTCGAATCCACCAGGTGCTCCTTGGAAACCCTGTGGGGCAGTTCTACTCCGTCCTGTACGGTCACTGTGAGTCAGAATTGACTCAACAACAAGTTAACAGGTCATTTACTTGAATCCACAATCAACACCCATGGAAGCAGCAGTCAAGAAATCAAAGGACATGCTGCACTCCACAAATCTGCTGCAAAAGACCTCTTTAAAGTGTTAAAAAGTGAAGATGTCTCTTTGGTCAGGTGCGCCTGACCCAAGCCATTGTATTTTCTATCACCTCATATGCATGCGAAAGCTTCACAATGAATAAGGAAGACAATTGATGCCTTTGAACTATGATGTTGGTGAAGAATATTGAATATACCATGAACTGCCAGAAGAATGAACAAATCTGTCTTGGAAGAAGTATAGCCAGAATGCTTCTTAGAAGCAAGGATGATGAGACTTCGTCTCATGTACTTTGGACATGTTATTAGGAGGGACCAGTCCTTGCAGACGAATATCATGCTTGGTGTTCTGGATTGAAGTGTGTCCCCCCAAAATGTGTGTCAGCTTGGCTGGTCCATGATTCCCAATATTGTGTGATTGTCCACCATTTTGTCATCTGATGTGATTTTCCTATGTGTTGTAAATCCTACCTCTATGATGTTAATGAGGTGGGATTAGAGGCAGTTGTGTTAATGAGGCAGAACTCAATCTACAAGATTAGGTTATGTCTAAAGTCAATCTCTTATGAGACATGAAAGAGAGAATCAAGCAGAGAGACATGGGGACCTCATCCCATCAACAAAGTAGAGCCAGGACCAGGGTCCCTGCCCTGAGAAGAAGCTCCTCAACCTGAGAAGACTGAAGACAAGGCCCTGCCCCCAGAGCCGACGGAGAGAGGGACTTTCCCCTGAAGCTGATGCCCTGAGTTCAGACTTCTACCGCCCTAGACTGTGAGAGAATAAACTTCTGCTTTTTGAAGCCATACACTTGTGGCATTTCTGTTATAGCAGCACTAGAATAACTGAGACACTTGGTAAGGTAGAGGGTCAGCAAAAAAGAGGAAGACCCTCAACAAGATGGATTGACACAGTGGCAGCAAAATGGGCTCAAACATAGCAACGATTGTAATGATGGCGCAGGACAGAGCAGTGTTTTGTTCTGTCGTACATAGGGTAACTATGAGTCGGAAGCAACTCAACGGCACCTAACAACAACATAGTTCAGTGTGGAGCACTGAAGGGAAATGAAGCGGGATATGAAGAACAGCTGCCAGAGTGAGGCTAGAAACACTTCCTATTGTGTATCTTCTTGTGTTGTCTGCCCCCCCACCCCCACCCCACACACACCCGAGAATATAAGCTTATGGAGGCATGGATTTTGTCAATTTTATCCTCTTTTCTACTGCCAGCAGTAGAACAATGCCTTTGTGTCCTAGAACAAGTATATGAGAGGGTGGATGAAGACTGGGATTCAGCTGCCAAATAATCTACAGCAAACTAGTGAGCATTGCTTGCCTTGTCTCTGGTTCCGACCGGAGAACTATGAAAACTATTTTGACAGGAAGCTGTAGAAGGAGGTGGAAATCCAGAAGCTTTTCAACTGATTTTATAAGGTATTAAAATAAAACCCGGAATGAATAAACAACTAGCTTTACCCAGGCAAATACACACATTTTAAGCAATAAAAGTTTTGTATTATTAATTTTATATATTCCATCCATGAACACAAGGCTCTTATTATTATTAGATATGACACTTAATGAAGTCAATGTGGAACTTATGCAAGCACCATTGGGCTGAACCTGAGCGCTTAACTTTGAAGGCAAAGCTAAGGACAGGGACTGGGAACTAAGACAATTGTTTTCCCAAGGCTACAACTAGGCCTATTTCAAAAACACATTAAACAGTTGTTGAATAACTGAGACAGGTAGGGAATGTAGTCAAAGAGAGGTTCTTTTCTTTCTTTTTTTTTTTTAAACAGATAATATCTGTTGGGTGCTTACAATGTGGCAAGCATTATTTTAAGTGCTTCAAGTGATTTACTTATTTTGGTAAAATATATATGAGAAAAATTTGTCATTTTAACTATTTTTAAGTGTACAACTCAGTGACGTTAATTAACTTCACCATGTTGTGCAACCATCACTGTTATCTATTTTGAGAAGTTTCCTACACCCCAAACAGGATCTCTGCATCCCTTAAACATTAAATCCTCCTTCACCCCAAGTCTTAGTAACCACCAAAAAACTCTTGTCTCTATGCATTTGAGACTCCTTTTTAATTGCTTCTTATCCAGCATCAAAGCCATCCAAAAAAAAAAAAAAAAAAAACAAATCCATTGCCATTGCGAAAATTCCGACTCATAGTGACCCTATAGGACAGAGTAGAACTGCCCCACAGGGTTTCCAAGGAGCGGCTTAACCCAGCTAGCTTCTTCCCAAGGCCCTGCTTTGTGCCTCCCGTAGATAAAGGCCCCTGCTGAGACCACCCCAGAGACAGAGTGGCATATTTTTGTGCAATCTTGACTTCTGCTTTAAAAATCTGTTGTAGAGTAACGACACGTATTCTATTTAAAAATAAAATCAAGAGAGATTTATTGAAAGTAAAAGCAGTTCAAGCCGGGGACACGTTAGATCTCACAAAGTGAAAGCCAATGCTCCGGATAGGACAGTCACAAGTATAATTATAGAGCTAGAGCAGGAACTCAAGTTACAATATTCTGATTGGAAGTTGCAACATTAGGGAAGGTGAGGGCGGGACAACTCAGAGGGAGTGGGGGGCTTTATAGCAGGAGTGTGGGCTATTTGGGTTGTGCTTTAAATCCTCTTCGCTTTCAGTTTTCCCTAAATTCTCTTTATTGTTATAAGGTTGTTAGTGTCATGAATAAAAACTGTAAGACGAGTGACAATGGAGAATCAGAAACTATACCTTTACGCTAATCTGTATGTTTTATTAGCAAATATTGAAAAATACTGTCAATAAGGCAAACAGCTGTTTGATGTTTGTAAAGCTCCACCTTTCCTCCTTTGTAGAGGCATAAAAAACAAACCAGTAAAACAAAAACTACTGTACTTGCGAGCCAGCCCGCCACCAAGCTCAAGTCGACCTCCGCGGTTCTCCGAGGCTGCGCGATTGGTCCGGACCAACTCCAGAAACGCCACAGGGCGTTCTGCAACGAGGTCGGAAGTGACGCATCAAGCTGCGACGCCAGCGTCCGTCGCCTGACGCCGCGGGAGCCGGGCTTCGGTCGCTCAAGAGATCACCGGCTTTCTCCCTATGGTTGCAGCAGAGAGATCATGACGGGGAAGAAGTCTTCCCGGGAGAAGCGGCGCAAGCGAAGCAGTCAGGAGGCAGCCGCAGCGGTCTCGGCCCCGGACCCGGTACCTATCCTCGCCAGCAGCGGCAGTGGAAGCACCAGCGGCTGCGGGAGTACCAGCGGCTGCGGGAGCGTCACCTGCTGTGGGAACACCAGCTTCAGTGGAAGTGTCACCGGCGGTGGGAGCGTCGGCAGCTGCTGGGGTGGGAGCAGCGTGGAGCGTAGCGAGCGCCGGAAGCGAAGGAGCACCGACTCGTCTTCCAGTGTCTCGGGTTCCCTGCAGCAGGTGTGTGCGCGCTGCCTAGCCGCTTCCTAGGGTTGCTGCTGCTTCGAAAGAAGGCCGATGCCCAGCGCAGTGTGGCGGCGACATGGGGCTTCGAGCGTAGCTCACTGGTAGCGCGGTAATCCCGAGGTTCCACCCTGTGCTTGAGGTTCACATTCCTAAATCCCGGTGAATCCCACACTTCCTTGTCTTGAATTTAAGGTTCTGATGAGTTAACTTCTTGTAACTTTTGGCCCCTTCCATGTCTCTGCTTTCCTCCGTCTCCCTGAAAAGTATAGGATGGGAGTTAGCCTTCAATGCCCTTGCGAGGCGGACACGTTACTTGTCTCTTAGTCTTCACTTTTTAGTTAGATTGTGATTAACTCTGCATTACAGATAAGGAAGTTGAGGTTCAAAGAGATTAAGGAAGTTTACCCACGATAACAGAGTTTAATAGCGCCTAGATTTGAATCCAGATACCTGACTATAAAAGCATATTGTTTATTCTCCATTCTGCCGAGATAAGTTTTCCTTAATCGTTTGTTTATAGTATATAAGACAAATGCATGAATACATGAACAGAATTCATACAACAATGAAATAAAGGGAAACGCGTTGATGTCCCTCTTCATTCTTCCCCATCAATAGTTTGATACGAAGCCCCTTTCTTTTCATTACCCTTTGTGTGTATATAAATTCCTACACGTAGGCTTTGTTGTGATTCCCCTTCTCCAGTTGGGTAATACCACTGTATTGTTGGGATGAAGGTCTTTCTATATTTGTTCCTTATTTTTTTAGTGACTGCATGGTATTTCGTTTTGTCTTTATGGATGAGCATTTAGGTTTCCAGTATTTTGCTATCACATAGACATTATGAAAATGAGCACTTTTGTACATATATCTTGTGCAAGAATTATTTTAGGATAGAGTCTCAGAAGTGAAATTGCTGGGTCAAAAGGTATGTATTTTTAAAAATTTAGTAGGTAACCAAACTGCTTTCCAAAAGACCATTCACTGATGTATAGTCCAAACAGTATATGAGAATTAAGTATGGGAGAATTGGGAGATGTGGAAACATAGAAGACCATTTATTTTTATGTATTTTTTTGTAACTAGCCACAGTATTAGTTATTAGCTTTAAATTGGTTCTCAGAAAAATTTCAGCAGTGAGAATTTTGTCTTGTCGTTTTCAGCGTTTATACTTCTTATTTTTCTTGTCTTTTTGCATTGGCTAGAACTTGTAGTGTTGAACAATAGCTGTGATAGTAGGCATTCTTTTCCCATTCTTTAGTGGGAACATTTTTAATATTCCACCAATAATATAATATTTTCCATAGGTTTATGAAAGGTATCTTTGATCAGCTTAAGGAAATTTTCTTCAATTCCAAATTCACTGAGGGTTGTAGAGTTCTCTCAGACACTTTTCTGGCATTCTGTTGATACCACATAGTTTTTCTCCTTTAACCTGATGATGTAATTTTATTGATAAATTGTTTGATATTGAGCTGTACTTGAAGTATTGGGATAAACCCTATTTGGTTTGTTGATTTGTTTGTTCTCAGCTGAAATTTGGTTCGGTGATACTTTATTTAGGATTTTCACATTTGTATCTATGTTCAAAAGTTAAATAGGCTTATGGTTTTTATTTTTGGAGTTAACTTGTCTTGTTTTGGTGTCAAGATTATGCTAGCCTCATGGATGGAGTTGGGAAGCTTTTTATTTTTTTGTGTGTTTCAGAATAGTGTTTATCTTTTTCTTGTAGATTTGGCAGAACTTAATCATTCGACCATACTGCTGTCTAGTGCTTTTTTTTTTTTAGGGGTAGGTTATTATTTTCAAATTCTTTATAGTTATAGCTGTATTCAGTTTTCCCACCTCTTCTAGATTTAATTTCGATGTCACTATTCTTAGTTTAAATAGTTTCCAGTCTCTAGTTCTCTTTATCATGATGGCACTAAGTTTGTAAATGTTTACATATGGAAGTAAACCCAACTTCTAATGAGAAAGCAGTGTATTTGTGAAGAAAAAAAGAAGTTAGTTCATATTAGGCATGTAGATAACATCTCAAAGTTCTGAGAACGCCAATGTATCTGCTGTGTGTTGAATTTCATAGGTGATTTTTTTTTGTAACAGCTTTGGTGGTGTTGTGGGCTGCCTTTGAGTTACCCTGACTCATGGGGACCCTTGCACAATGGAACGAAGTGTGGGCTGGTCCTGCACCATCCCCAAGATTGGTTGCAGATCGGTCTGTTGTGATCCGTAGGGTTTTCATTTGCTGATTTTCAGAAGTAGATCACCAGGCCTTTCTTCTTGGTCCATCTTAGTCTGGAAGCTCTATTGAAACCTGTTCAGCAACATGTAAGCCTCCACTGGTGAGCCTCCACTGACAGATGGGTGGTGGCTGCCCATGAGGTACATTGGCAAGGAATGTTGGGCGAGAATTCTACCACCGAATCACTAATGCCCCCGTAACAGCTTTACTGAGATATAATTCACATACCATACAATTCACCCATTCAAAGTGTATAATTCAGAAGTTCTTAGTAGAATCACAGAGTTGTGCAACCGTCGCCACAATCAATTTTAGAAAATTTTTAATACCCCAAAAAAGAAGCTGTATGCCTAACCTTTAGCTGTCATTTCCAAACCTCCCTCCTGTCCTTAGGCAATCACTAATCTGCTTCCTGTCTCCATAGATATATAGGTTTCCCTGTTCTGGATGTTTATATAAATGGAATCATATAATATGTGGTCTTTTGTGACTGGCTTCTTTTACTTAGCATAATGTTTTCAAGGTTCATCCTTATTGTAGCGTGTGTTTGAACTTCATTCTTTTTAATTGCTGAATAAAATTCCATTTTCTGCATATAGCACATTTTATTTGTCCATGCATCAGTTGATAGATACTTGGATTATTTCTAGTTTTTAGATTTTATGAGTAATGTTTCTATGAACATTCATGTACAAATTTTTCTGTTGATCTGTGGCTACATTTTATTGAATGTATACTTAGGAGTGGAGTTGCTGGGTTCTATTATAACTCTATATTTAATTTTTTGAGGAACTGCTGAACTATATTCCAAAGTGGCTGCACTATTTTATATTCCCACCAGCAGTATATGAGGATTCCAGTTTCCTCATATTCTCACCAACACTTAGGTGTTTTTTCCATTGTAGCCATCCTAGGGGATGTGAAGTGGTATTTTGTAATGGTTTTGGTTTGTATTTCTCTGGACTAATGATAGTGAGCATCTCTTCTTGTGCTTATTGGCCATTTGTATATATTCTTTGGAGAAATGTGTATTCAGATCCTTTTCCCGTTTTTAAATTGGATTATTTGTCTTTTTATTTTTGAGTTGGAAGAGTTCTTTATACACTCTAGATACACGTCCCTTATCAGATACATGATTTACAAATATTTTTTCCCATTCTGTGGGTTGTCTTTTCACTTTCTTGATAGTGTCCATTGAAGTACAATTGGAAGGTGTGACTCATCCAACTTGGTTCTTTTTCAGTATTGTTTTGGCTATTTTAGGTCCCTTGAGTTTTCATATGAATTTTAGGATTAGCTTGTCAATTTCTGCAAGAAAAGGCCATTGAAGTTCTGAGAGGGATTTCATTGAGTCTGTAGGCAAATTTGGGGGAGTATTGTCATCTTAACAATATTAAATCTTCCAATCCATGATCATGGGATGTCTCTCAATTCATTTAGATCTTCTTTAATATCTTTCAACAATGTTTTGTAACAGTATACATTTTGTTCTTCTTTTGTTAATTTTATTCCTAAGTATTTTATTCTTTTTGATGCTATTGTAACTGAAGTTATTTTTGTAATTACCTTTTTCTGATTGTCCATTGCAATCCAAATGTATAGAAGTACAATTGATTTTTGTATATTGATCTTGTATCCTGCAGCCTTGCTGAACTTTTTGTTAGTTTAATAGTTTTTTTTTAGTGCATTTCCTAGGATTTTCTATATGCAAGATCATATCATCTGCAAATATAGTTTTATATCTTTCTTTCCAATCTGGATACCCTTTATTTTCTTGCCCAATTGCTTTAGCTAGAACTTTTAGTACGTATTGAATAAAGATACGGGAGGGGACATCCTCCTGGTCTTGTCGTTGTTGGGTGCCGTCAAGTTGATTCCGACTCATAGAGACCCCATGTGACAGAGTAGAACTGCCCCATAGAGTTTTCTTGGCTATACATAACAGATTGGAGAAACCTCAGATTTGATGTAGGGAGTCCAGTTCAGTAAGCTATTGAGACAATCCAGGCAAAACCTGGGTTGTGGCAGTAGATTTGGAGAGACTGGATAGATCTACGAGGTAGGAGGTAAAATTGCCAAAAATGTGTTAAATAACTGAAATTACTTGGCTACTTTGAATGTTTAAATTATATATAACAGTTTTTAAAATGACAGTAGCTCCTGGTAAACAGTATTACATTACTGTATAATAGTTGTGGTTTGTCATATTTTTGCTGCTCTCTATTCCATTTCTTTATATGATTTTAGGTAGAATGACAGGCATATATGTAAAACTTATAGGTGAATGACCAACTGCAGGAATGCTTGAATTCTTCAGTTTTATTGTAGGAAAGCATTCAATATTGAGTATATTTTCAGTTGTGTGTCCTAGGATACCGTCACTTCCCATATATCAAGTTGCTGAGTTAATTGCAGTATGGAGAGTAAGATCAGAGAATACTGTACAATTAAATAGTCTTTCCTATGGTTTTAGATGAATAATCTGTCCAAACAAAGAATTTGGAAATGTTTAATGAAGAAGAATTTATTATGTGAAAATGTGTAACATCATGTACATGTTTTATATATTTTAAAGAGTATTATTTAATGGTTCTTTTTATCACTTCTAATTTTAGGAAACCAAATATCTTTTGCCATCTTTGGAAAAAGAATTATTCTTGGTAGAGCACAGTGACCTTGAAGAAGGTGGACTGGACCTGACTGTGTCATTAAAACCAGTTAGTTTCTATATATCAGACAAAAAAGAAATGCTTCAGCAGTGCTTCTGTATCATAGGGGAGAAGAAGTTACAGAAGATGCTTCCTGATGTGTTAAAGGTACTTCGTTATATACATTATCAGACTATATGCATATATAGAATGCAACAGGTTTTGTAGCAGTCATCTTACGTATGCAATTTATAACTGAATGTTTTCAACTGGAACAAGTTGGTTGAAAAGATATAAAAAGGGATTTTGAGAACCATAAATGGCCTTGTATATTTAAAAATTTGCCAAGAAAAAACAAGACATTTTACTATGTGTAGGCAAGGATTTTATTGAGCCTAACCTATGGAAATAATTCTGTTAAGTGCAGGCAATAGTAGTAACTAAATTGGAGGAATAATAGATCTTTCTGGTGCTTTAAAGAATAATATAATAATATATTGCTGTGTAACAATACACAGTGATGATTGGTAGGTAATAGTTTGTATTCCATTGAATTCACAGGTGTTTTCATGTACTTATTTCTGAAAATTATCCAGAGAAAAACATGGCATTATTCTGATTTTATAGTTGTGGGAAAAGAGCTTGGATAAGTTAAGCCCAAGATCATATATCTAGAAAGTACAGAGCCAGGACTTGAATATTTAAACCTTTAAAAGAATTGCCTGGCATAAATAGGCTGCAGTTATGAATACTAGGACACTTGACTTACTCTTTAGTTTATTCTTTTATAATAAGTATGATTTTAGGTATTCCCACCAAATTTTTGTAAAATGTTCACTTGTTAACTGGCAGTTTTTCATATTTCATCCCACAAAAAGATTTATGTGAATTCTGCTTGAAACTTTTAGTTTGTTCTCCTGCAAGATTTTGTTAACCAGATTTTTTTGCATGTGATTGCAGTTTTCTGGTTTACATTGGAGCTATATTACATAAGTGCACTTTTTTTTTTAATGTTATTTTCCTTAGAACTGTTCAATAGAAGAAATTAAAAAACTATGCCAGGAACAATTAGAACTCCTGTCTGAAAAAAAAATTTTGAAGATTCTTGAGGGTAAGTATACATATTATATTCTAATAACTTACATATTCAATAGAAATCCTGCAGTATTCTTTTTCTTATTTTAGATATTTAATTTTATTAATATAGGTAATCATTGAAGTTGTATTTTTACTGAGAAATATGTACATATCAGAATAGCATTTCAGGAAAAGATTTGCTATGTATCATTTTTCTAAATCAAGTGTATAGGTAAGTGTATAAGTTTGTACACAGTAGTAAAATGGAATAAAAAATGTTTACTCAAAATACCATAAAAATTAATTATTAAAAAGGCAGAGATTTCTCTTAAATTAATTTTTTACTTGCTGCTTTATTTCCTTCATAACTTTTAGTTGTCTTTTGCATACTGTTTGTTCTACTCAGACCCAGATTCAGAGTTAGAAGAATTCCTTGCAGTTAGTCAACACTTACATCTGCCTGAAGTAGGACTCGTCTTTGTAATACCATTTATTACCTCTAGAATTTTGGATTTCCAAGCATTTTTGTTTTTTTGAACATTGCAAGGATATTTGCATTAGCATCATAAGAGTAGGAACAAAAATAGAGATTTTCAGTTATTAGAAATTTTTTAAAAATGTAAAACGGTTTACTGGAATTTTATAACTCTGGCAATAGATGTATATATGCGTATATAGTCTGTAAATATATGTACACACAGTCTTGTGTATCTCTCTCTATATATATAATGCATTGTATGTATATGTACATATAATGCATTAAGGGAATACAATGAGACATAGCTAATAAGGCATTAAAAATATAAGCAATTAAAATATAAGCATGTAAAAAATGTAGTCTTTCAATAGCTGTAAAGTTCCTTATCTGCATCACTTTTAGAGTTGATACTTTTTGGCTGATTGAATCATTTTGACATTTTTTATAAGCATGCTTTTATATAGTTTATTTCATTTATAAGGTGACAATGGTATGGACTCTGATATGGAAGAGGAGGCAGATGATGGCTCTAAGACGGGATCTGATTTAGTCAGTCAGTAAGTTAAAAACTTTCATTTTTATTTTTAAATTTCTTCATTTTTCTTTTGATGATTTCTTACCTCAAGGATGTAATTATTTTATTGTGGTTTATTTATATAAAATAATTCTACAGTGTAGAAGGATTGATTTGTTGTAATGACCTAGAGCATTACAATGATTGGTCCTTTTGATGTATGTGAAGATGGAGTTAATTGCTTTCAGAATTAATGTGGTTTTCTTAAACTACTACACATAGATATAGGACAACAGGGATGTCATCCTAAAGCAGATTCATATCTCTCCTTGGAATTTGAATATATTACTCATAGTGCCCACTATTTATTAAGTATGTACCATATGGCAGACACTATGTTAATAGCTTTGATCAGTTTATCTTACTGAATTCTTCTACAGATCTATTAATATTAGGTTATAATAAACTAATTTCACAAACGAAATAGTAAGATGGTTCATTTTATATATGTATATGTAATTTGATTTATTGTGGTGAGAAAAAATGCCTAAAGTTTTGAGATACTGACTGACCAAGAAGAAACATGCCAATTGATTTTTTCCTAAATTTTTTGGTGCTCTAACCACTGCTCATCAAACTTTCACCCACTAATTTTGGCATCTATTGATGATTTTTGCCTGGAAAACTTACTTCTTTGGTGATTGCCAAAGACTGATTTTTATCCCCCTTTGCGAAGCCTGGCATTTTTCTTAAAGAATAGGACAAGATTTGTGCAATAGGTACAGGTATTAGGAAAAATAAGAAGAGATTACTGGGGCAGTAGAATAAATAAGCAGCACATATTTAACTTGAAATCTTGAGTACTTTTCCGTTTCTAATCTTTTCTGAACTTTTCCAGATCATTGAGACTCTTTTGAATTACTTCAGAATATAGGCTTTTTTTAACTTGTATTTTAGATGAAGGTTTACAAACCAAACTAGTTTCTCATTAAACAGTTAAGACACATATTGTGTTGTGACATTGGTTGCCAACCCCATGACTTGTCAACACTCTCCCCTTCTCGACCTTGGGTTCCCTGTTAACCAGCTTTCCTGATCCTCTTGCCTTCTCATCCCTGTCCTTGGGTTGGTGTGCCCATTTAACCTCGTTTTGTTTTATGGGCCTGTTTAATCTTTGGGTGAAGGGTGAACCTCGGGAGTGACTTCAGTATTGAGTTAAAAGGGTGTCTGGGGGTCATACTCTCAGAGCTTCTCCAGTCTCTGTCAGACCAGTAAGTCTGGTCTTTTTTGTGAGTTAGAATTTTGTTCTACATTTTTTCTAGGTCTGTCTGGGACCCTCTGTTGTGATCCCTGTCAGAGCAGTAGTGGTGGTAGCCGAGCACCATCTAATTGTACTGGACTTAGTGTAGTGGAGGCTGTGGTAGTTGTGGTCTTTGGTTTTCTTCATTCTCTCTGGCTCCAGATGGGGTGGAACCAGTGGAGTGTCTTAGATGGCTGCTCACAAGCTTTTAAAACCCCAGATGCTACTCACCAAAGTAGGATATAGAACATTTTCTTTATAAACTGTGTTATGCCATTTGAGCTAGATGTCCCCTGAAACCATGGTCCCCAGCCCTCAGCCCAGTAATTCAGTCCCTCAGGGAGTTTGGATGTGTCTGTGAAGCTTCCATGACCTTGCCTTGGTCAAGTTGTGCTGACTTCCCCAGTATCGTGTACTGTCTTACACTTCACCAAAGAGAATATAGGCTTATTTTTAAAATCAAACTTCTAAACTACAAGATGCCAGGTAAATAATACTACTCATAGCTAACACTTTCTGAGCATTGTATTACAGACATTGTTCTAAGCAATTTGTGTGCATTCATTCACTCATTGTGTTCATGTAGCAACTTTGTGAGTTAAGTGATATTGTTACACTATTTTACAGATATCAGCAATGTTCGGTTGGAAATTAAAATTAAAAAATTCCTTTATAGTAATGCCAAAAACTGTAATACTTAAGTATAAATCTAAAAAAAAATGTACAAATTGTTTGCAAGAAACTGTAAAATGCTGGTGAAGGAAATCAAAGATGACCTGAATAAATGGAGAGACGTACTGCGTTTATGGATTGGAAGACTCAACAGAGTAAAGATTTCATTTATTTTCAAATTGATCTATAGATTTAATGCAATTCCAGTCAAAATCCCAGCAGGATTCTATGTAGAAATGTGCTCATTAAAAAATTTATGAGGAAAGGCAAAACAACCAGAAGAGCTAAAATCATTTTGGAAAATAATAATTACACTACCCAATATTAAGACTTACTATAAAGCTATAGTAATCAAGATAGTGTGGTGTATTGAAATAGGGATAAGCACATAAGTTAATGAAATAGAAAAGAGTTCGGAAATAAACACACACAAATATAGCCATTTGGTTTTTGACAGTAGAGAAAGACTAGTGTTTTTAACAGATAGTGTTGAAACAATTAGATACCCATATGCAAAGAAATGAACCTCATTCTAAACCTTATACTTTATACAAATATTAACTCAAAATTCATCATAGATCTAAATGTAAAATGTAAAACTGTAACACTTGTAAAAGAAAACAGGAGAAAATCTTCATGATGTGGAGTTTCGGCAAACGATTCTTAAGCCTAGCACCAAAACCATGACCCGTAAAAGAAAAAAGTTGGTAAGTTAGATTTCATCAAAGTTAAAAACTTTGCTCTGGGAAAGATTCTTGTTAAGAGAATGCAAAGACAAGCTACAAACTGGGAATATTTGCAAATCACGTATCTGCAGAGAACAGGTATCCAGAGTCTATAAATAACCCTTAACACTCAGCAGTAAGGAAACAAACAACCCAATGAAAATAATGAGCAAAAGATTTGAACAGCTACTTCACTAAAGAGGATATGCTGATGGCAGATGAGCAGATGTAAAACAATGTAGGTGGCCTCTAGAAGCTGGAAAAGACAAGGAAATGAAATCTCCCCAGGATCCTCTGGAAGGAATACAACACTGTCTGTATCTTGATTCTAGCCCAGTAAGACTCAATTTGGGCTTCTGATATCCAGAACTGTAAAGGAATACATGTTGTTTTAAGCCACTGTTTGTGGTAATTTGTTACAGTAGCAATAGGAGAAAACTAATCCAGCATACTTGATTAAAACCTAGACATAAGCCAAAGTTACTGATTTATTTGCTCAGGCCACATAGGTATTTTCTTGGACCTAAACAACATTTAAAAATTTCTGAAATGGTTTCCAGCATTTAAACCTAGTGGCATAACACTAAAAACTGGATATTTAAGTTGTTTATAAAGTCAGATTAAGTGATTATTCCTGGGAGAGCAAAAAAATTAGTTGGAGCTGAGGGCAGTTGCTTTCTTTTTGTATGGCATGTATATTTTGGTGTGCTACAGAGTAATGCACTTGCCTTAATGTTTATTGTATGAAACGTCTGTAAAATGAGACTTATATTGAAGGGAAAACACATAAAGGCCAAAGGTTGGCCTTGAAAACAATTATGTCCGTTTGTCAGCTTCTTATCAGCTGATATATAGACCTTTACCTTCTCATCCTAATTTTAATGAACAAAAATAGTTTTAATAACATAGATAATGGGATCTATGTTAGTAAAAATCCATGAAAATTTTGAGTTTCTTTCAGTGCTACCTATGCTCCTTTATTATAGTTCGTATCAGAAACTGTAAAGTGACAGAGTTCATTATAAGGTGTGCATGTGTGTTTATGCAGTATATCGTACACCCTACATGCATTAACCTTCCCTGGGTGGTATGAACGGTTAGGCAGTTAGCAGCTGAGTGCATTAACCTTTTGCACCTCTCAGGTACTCCCTATGTATACTAGTTTTTTCATACTCCCTTAAAGATTTTAAGATACAGAAATACACACAAATGTTTATGCACAAGTAAAGAGAATCTAAAATTACATTTACAGTTTTATCTTCTCACATTGTCACCTTTATATGTTCAGATTCTGTTTATCCTTTAAAGTCGGCATTCAGATGCATGTTTTTCTTGCCAAACTTCTTGATCTCTAGTGCTATTTAAAAGATTATTTGCTTACTTTTATTTTACCTTACAGTAGTTTTTTTTTTTTTTTTTACTACCAAAAATAACACCAAGAAAGCAGTACTTATAAGAAATTATTGAGAGTGGGCTACCTTGAAACTGAAATGAATGCATGGATGTTAACTTTATAACAATTGCAGTAGGAATGAGATTTAGCAACTGTGAAGATAATAATAACATCTATAGTTTTCTAAATATCTTCAGTTTAACAAATGTGAGGGATGGGATTGGCAACTTAAATAAGCAAATAAGCAAATTTATATTGTCGGTAATCTAAAAATTTTAGCATCTGTAGTTTGCAGTGTTTTAAAACTACTAAGAATTGTGTCAAGATTTGCAAATGTTACAGATGAAGACAAATTACTTAATACGAACAATAATGTTAAGTAAATAAAAGTAATATGGAATTAGAGTGCCATCTGCATTTGAAGATGGACTGGGAGAAGCTTTGTTATAACTAAAGTAGCACAAAAAGTAAGAACAGGTATTAGCTTGACCTTTAACGTTACTTAACTGTGCTACAAAGAATGTGTTTTTAATGAAATTTAAGTCTTGAATAATGCAGTAAAATAATAAGGATTGAGGTTTTTATATATATAAAGAATGAAAGTAAAAACACTTTAGGGAAATATCAGCAATATTTTAGAATTGCTCTCTCTAGTCTCTTCATGAATTTTAAATTAATGTACTTTTAGTGAATGGTATAGAGGGAGTTGTGAGTGGAAATGAGGCTGTATTTCTCTGTAGGTGATAAGTAATGTTGAGATAATAAAGTAGGTTCTGTATGAATGTTCTGGAACTATTGATCCTAGCCACTGCCACTTTTGTATCGGCAGATGGACGTGTTCTAAATTGGTTTTTATCAAATTCTAATTTTTAATGATTAACTTTTTTTAAACTAGATACTTCTAAAGAGGCCTTAGAGGTTTACATAATATATATAAAGAACCATTTTGTTTT